AAAAATTAATTCATTAATAAAAATAATATGAATATGTGACAAAATTTAGTTTAACATACTGACTTAAAAGAACTTAATTTAAAAGTATATGGTGAGGCAAAATACGTTTAATGTATACATCACAACTTTGAAATTTGTGAATTGTTAAGTAACTCTCCTTCCACGTGAATCTTTACGTCAGAAAGATGTAAAGAACCCTAGGGTTCCGTGAAAGGGTTACAACGGTTCCCATTTGAGAGGTTTTTTTTAAAAAAACAGTTACAATTTTCGTATTCCCAATTTCTAATTCATTACTTCGGTCATGGGCTGCAATAGCGGCACAACTCAGAAAATCATGTTTTGAGATAAGTGGGTTTAAAGTTTTCGTTGCTAAGGAAAATGCATAAGAAATGCTTTAGTTTGCCTAAACGAAGATTACCTTCAAGTCTAATTATGAGTTGTGCTGAACGGATGTGTATTTTCATATTTACGCATGTTCTTAGTCGAAAAAGGGTGTATTTTTAGTTGTGCCACTATTGCAGCCCATGAGCGATTTATTTAATATTCCCGTTATTTATATGAATACAACATTGTATTCAATACAGTGTTGTTGTTTTTTTCTATTCACTATTAAATTAAAATGAATTTTGAAAAGCATTCTTTAGTTTTTCGAGTGGAATAAAAATAACCTAATTCAACAATGAGGAAGTATGTTTCTCTGATTACCAAGCTCATTTTTTTTCCATTTTCGTTTTTATTTTAATGTAAACCATATTTCAAATTCATTCATTTTCAGTTTACACATGCATTAGAATCGAATTAAGAGCTCGACTAGATCTGTGAAGTCAATTGTCTGGCATAAGAACAAATTTTAAGACTAATATTGATAAAATGATATGATAAAAAAAAATTCATTGACTAAATATTTTCAAAATAATTAATAACATTTAGATCATTATATTTTTTTTCAAAATTAATATGTTTCAAAATTAATATCTTTTGTTAATTACTGTGTTTATAATTGCAGATGAAATGTCTCACACACATCAATATCTCACACACATTTATAAAATATCTTATAATAATATTTTTAGTCCACATTTACGAACTAAAAAACTATTGTGGTTGATACATTTTCATTTTCTTAATAACTTTGCAATTAAACTAAACGATAGTAAAGAAAAGTATCGAAACGATAGTCTAGTATTCTAGCTTTATTAGACTACAATGGTCTAGTGTCCTAGCTTCATTAGACTAACTTATAGGCCAGAAACTCTTAACTGATAAACTACTGGCAAGTTTAGTTGTGATTTTTATCATCACCAATCCAAAACAGACGTTTTTTCCGCTAAAATCACTGCAGAACCTCAGGACCTACAACATATACAGAGATGCTAGATGTTCTGGACACGCCAAAATAATTAAAAAAACGGTAAATAACTACAAAGTAAATTTTGCGAATTTTTTTACTATTTTTGCTTGTTTTTTAAAATGTCACACAAGTATTATGCAGTGGTGAATTATATAAGCCTACGAATTATTTAGAAGTAATGGTGGATAAAAATCTACTAAATTAAATTTATTAAACCAGGAATCACAATTGATAAACTACCAATTTAAAATATATATTTGCTGTCCGGAGCAAGTTGGCATCTTTGCATATAGCATGCAAAAATTTTTCTTCCATTACAGAAAAATGAATATTTTATTGAAATTTTTCCAGCCATTTATCTATTACATTCTAAATATAAATTTAAAAGAATTTATATTAAGTAAATTTTTATTAAATTTAAAAAAAAACTATCGTTTTGATTTAGTGTACATATTAGTTTTTTTTCTTCTGAAAGTTTAAGATGGAAAAAATTAATACGATTTAAATGGGATCCTGTAAAAATATATCAAAGAAAGTTTTCCTTCGGTGGTTTGGAAATGGTAAATAAGAGTTGACTATTAATGGTCAACTCATTGACATTGGTGTCTTGAGCTATAGTGTAGTTCAGTGTTTCCCAAAAACTTATTACTTTTGTGTACCCTTTCTAAATTTCTCATAACGCTGTGTACCACTAACAAAAAAATGAATGTGTTTTTTACTATAAAAAATTGCACAAAAGTTAGAAATCACAACTGGCTGTTATCACCACTAATTATTAACTGTTAACTTTGCAAAAAATAGCCAATAGAAAAATACGTACTCGTAAATTTTCATGGCTAGATTTGTTTTTAAATAAAATTTTGCGAAATATCGTTTGTTGTAACATATTTCGTATAAGAACGCGTACCTCCGCTAAACTGTTCCCGTACCCCTGGGGGTACGCGTACCACACTTTGGGAAACACTGGTGTAGTGTATGTCTCATTATATTTTTACTTTTTATGTTACGACATTGTATTAACCATTTAAACGTCAAATTAGGAAAGAATTATCCAAAATAACCTGATATTTGTTAAGCTCACTACGAAAAAGTATCTAAAGGCAGTAAAATATTTAAAAACATTTAAAGGCGTTTTTAACAATGTTTCATTTTTAGAACATAATAGTTTGACTGGAGTTTTTTTAATGAGGGTGAATATAATATAGTGGTCGAATCCACTTAGAAGTCCAAAAAAAAAGCAGTAAATATCATTTTTCTAAATCTATTAACAACTTACTATCTATCTATCTATTAAGCTTAAAATTATATATTTAAGAGATATTCTATTACATATTTTCCAGGCATGAATTGTGAATAAAATATATCCATCGGAGCACAAGTCATACATTTTTCGCAAAATCTTTTCGAGCTTTTTCAGTTATTTTGCCTAATCTAATTTCACTTTCTTTTTCAACTATATAAAAGGTTTTTTCTTTTTTTTTTATTATTATTTCAATTTGCACTTGATCCTGGAATTTGATTTTTTTCATATGCCCTTATAACTTTTTAAAATGATATATTCAATACCACAGAATTAAAATAGAATAACTGGCCGTAAAATATTTTCATCTATGTTTTCCTTTAGCAATTAAATCTCTCAATTCGTCAATCTCTGACTAATATCTACATATTTCAAATCTCAACCAGAAAGAGTGTATAAGAAGGCTCCTTGTATCGTTAGTGACCACATATCCATAGACATCCATAGTTCTGACCACATATCTATAGACATAAGAGCAAGTAAAATTCGTAAATTAGATAAATAAATAAAAAAGTGCCCACTTTTCTTTAACAGCAAATGTGCCTCGAAAATAATATAAATCGCAGCAAGAAGGAAGGAAAAAATATCAGTAACAAGAATCTGTCCAATACCAATATTTGTCCAATTAAAAAAAAAGTTAATAAAAATTAGTTTTCAATCCAATAATATTTTTTATATGAGTTATAAAATTTTTTCTTCTAAAGTTCCTCTAAGTCATGGGTCGCCAAACTTTTTTCATCATCGACCCCTATATAGTTTTTCGAAATCTCCATCGACCACCATAAAAGTAATTTTCCGTTAATTAAAATAAAACTCTATTAGATACTGTGTTTGTATATTTATTTTATGATTTAAACATTTATTAAAGCAATAGTACATTGTGTAACAATTGTTTTATGAAAAATATATTAATGTTGAAATTTAAATCCCTTAATATTTATCAACTAATACGTAATTATAAATAAGTAGAAATAATAAGTAAAGTAACTGCAGATTTATTGCTTCTTAACCAATGAGATGGGTGTGCNAATTATGCATAAGTAGATATAATAAGTAAAGTAACTAAAGATTTACTGCTTCTTGATCAATAAGATGGGTGGGTCTGTTTTTTTTTTGCACGGTTCGCTATATTGGGTTCAATTTTGGTCAATTTTTATTTGAAATCCCCTCGTAACTCCACATTTAATTTACTTACTTGGTTAAGATTGAATTTACGTGACTGAAACCGGCTTCAACCATATAGGAACTTGGAAAAGCTAGCATAAAAAGGCTGAGCTATTTCATAAAGTTCTACATATTTTTGCATTATATTTATATTTGTTCAAAATGTACTTATTGTAAATTTTTAAAAAGCGTCTTTGCTTCAAGATCCGATAACAATTCAGCAAACTCATCTTGCAGGCTGATGTCCTCATTTTTGATGATGCGTTTATTAATTTATGTTCTATAAAGAAAGTGATATTAAGTCAATTATAAAAAAAAAAATTCACAAATTTTACATACTCAGTTAGATATTTGGGATTTACGTATTAAGAACTGTTTTTTCTTCGACCCCCAATCGACCCCTACTTTTGTTAAATAGACCCCTGGGGTCTATATAAACCACTTTGGCGACCTCTGCTCTAAGTGGTTCGTCCACATTATAAATATCACCTCTGTCTGGGTTGACACTTGATATTAATTGTTCAAATTACTCTATAAAATTAAAGTCAAGTTCTGGTCTCATTAATATTTTTTTAATATTAAATACATATTAAAAACAGTTTTTTACATAGCTAGATTTTAGCTCAGTTCTTAATTTAATGCTCATGTGACCTAATCTAGTTAAAACATTTTTCAAATAATCCAAGAATGTAGTTATGGGTTAAAATTAGTTTCATTATAATTTGATTTACTTTTTTTCAACATCCATTTGTTAGTAACAGTTATAGTGCATTAACCTGGTTGTAGTCCTATATCATGGAACTAATATAGGAAAAACAATATTTTTTTGTTAAAAAAAAGTATACATTCAACTTAGCCTATCAATTCAAAATGCAGATGAAAGTTTAATGTTTAAAAGAAATATCAGATATATTTAAAGCATTAGTAAATATTTTACGAAAGAATTTATAAAAAATTGATCGCATTATATCTCTACATTTGATACAAAAAAAACACGGAATAAATAAAGTTTTTTTAAAATTGTGAAAAGCTTGTAATCGCGAGATAGTAATCAAAATGTAGCTTAATAAACTGTAACTATTTATTCATAGCAATCACTAATCATTTGGCGACACATTAATAAAGAAGTGCGAGGCAATAATATCGCCAACACATGTAACCTTACCTCCGTTTGTTAGTGGCAGTTATAGTGCACTCACCTGGATGTGGTTGAGAGGATTTGGTGGAGTGAACAGATGATGAATTGCTGCGGAGTACACATCTTCATCTTCTCTCTCTCCCCAAAACACGTTCTTGGATCACGTTTTGAAAAAGGATGTTTTCTGATTATCTCTTGTCATGGATGTTTTTGGATTCATTCCGTTTAACAGAGGTATGCAACTAATGTTTTTCACTGTTACTCTAAAAATTAATCCATATTCAAACACTTATAAGTTCCACTACTAACAAAAGTGTATAAGATTTAAGTGCTATAGCCGGGTCTTATTAATACCCGTTAAAAAGAAAAAACGTTAAAAGATAAAACAATTTCAATACGATTACATGTATATATTATGGTAGCATCGTCAGGGGGCTGGAAAAATATTTTCTTAAAATAATCTTCAAGCTGCGAAATTAGTAGCTTGGCGCTACCGCTACGTGGAATTTTATTTCTTTGCTTTTTCTTTGATTTTCGTTATTTTTGTATTTATTTATTAAATTGTAAATATATATATATAATAGAATTAGAGAATCAATAAAAATTTGATGGAAAAACATAAATATTCTTTTCAGGATGCAATCCTTTACAACAGAGACATTTCAAAATAAAGAATAATGATATTAAGGCAGTATTAAAATATCTATAGTCTTTAGTTACATGTAATTAGTTGATTTCCCACGCTACTAAAGGCCACATTATCACATTTTCTGAACTTATTAAAAATCAATGTGGTTTTACATTTTGTGGGAAAGGTTTTAACCGATTGGCGTGTGCTCGTTTGATTTAAGCTTGTGCTATAAATTAGATTAAATATGTAATTGTTTAACAGTATACATGTGCAGCGAACTTTCACAAGAAAATATATATGTTAAGATGTAATTGAATCTTGATAATGGCAGACTCCTGAAAATGGGGTATGCGTGGAATGGCTGTACTTCCAGTTTTTTTTCTATTTTTCGGATAATGGTTTGAATTTCTTATCCATATTCAAAAGTGTTCTTTGATTCAAGAACCGTAAATGTCGAGAAGAAGAAATGATAACTCAACCAGTTGTTTAGTGTAACGTTCTTAATATGATTTAATTATTCAAAGTCCAAATTTCAAAGTTTGAAATATTCTGGAAAAATTCCACCCGCAAATTTTACAATTTAAGCTCCTATACTTCTCTTAAATGCCCTTCCTGTGCTTCGTCCTTCCTATCACCCTTCGGTTTTGACTCTAGGGGGAAAAAATCCCCTTTAACAGGGAAAAAAGAGCAATAAGATAGAAAGAATGTCAGAGAACATCTTCAAACATTATTAAAAAAGTCTTTCTTCTTTTTTTCAATAAAAAAGAAAGGAAAAGAAAAAAAGAAAGAACCCAGAAAAAGTTTGTGATAGCTTTCTTGAGAAAAAAAAATTATTTCGCTGTTTTTTTTTTTTTTTTNTTTTTTGTCATATGCCTGTTTAGGCAGTGGGGGTGCGATTGTTCCTGTTTTTCAGTGGCGCCATCTACGGGCAGGAATTCCACTTCTGCCACGCCATTCACACAACCACAACCGTTTATAGGGCGGGTCACATTCACACACAAAGGAGAAAGGACATAGAACAGAGAGAGAGAGAGAACGAAACATCCAAGCCTTGCTCGGGATTAGAACCCAGGACCTTTCTGATGCAAGGACATTTGATCTGTTAGAAAAATATATTAAGCGGAACTGCCTTCAATAGGTAAAATCAAGAATATCGGTATAAGCAATTTTCACGGATTATCAGAAATGATGTGAAAAAGGGGATAACATACGAAACGGACAACGTAAAACTGAGGTTCTGCTGTATATGCTATTGCTGGAAAAAGGCAAGCCCCGTCACCAATAATTGGTATGACTGTAGGCGACAGCATAGCACCGTTTATGTTCAAAATCTTTTCAGCCATTTTAGATAGGATCAAAAATAAATCTAAATAATTGCTTCTTAACTATATTTTAATTTCTATGAATATAAAAATATATTCGAAATAAATACTTAACATATCGCACCCATAACTATAAAATGCAGCATTTGAGAAAAATCAACATAAAGAATACTATAACACTTATTTTGAAATAGACACAAAACTGATACAAACTTGTATCACTTTTCTTGCCTGGGTGCGATATAACTAACTATTTAACACTGTTTAAATTATTATTTAAGACATATATATATATATATAATGTTGCTTTAATTTTCACAGAAATACGATTTCTTCCTTAAACTGTTTTGCTTATATTTGTTTTATTTTGCTCCTCAACCTCATGACTAAATATTTTTGTTTAAAAAATTTAATTTAGCTTCTTATAAAAATTTCCTGCTTATTTAATAATTTGGTACAATTTTCAACTTTTACTCATGGCGTGCTGGAAAATTAATTTAAATAAAGTGGCCAGAATGCCTTTCATTAATGGGTAAATAAGATAAATTTCTTATAAATTGCTATTTGAAATTTACACAAAACTATCTGAAACAGTGATTTTTCTTCTTACCGTCAAATTTGAAAATTACACAGCTTTACTTCAGTGAAAGAGCTGAGAGAAGTGGTAAATAAAATCATCTTTTCTTTATATATTTGTTAACTTAACGTGAATCATTAAAATTATTAATTCCAGAGTAGCAATTAATCTCGTTTGTTGTAATCATGCTTACGAGTTCTATCGAACGTAGCATTTAATGAATAAAACCCAGGTGGGAAGTCATCCGAAATTAAACATTTAAACATCTTATATATTTTAGTAATTTAAATTTTTCTTTAAAAGAAGTGGTAGTAATTGATATTTATATTCTTTAATTATTTCTTAAATATGAATTTGCAAAGAAAATGTTTAAATTAATCTTATCGTAACTTTGCTTTCTTTATTGTCTATTTTGAAACAATTCTTTAAAAATAATCCATTTTCGACATACCTTGAGAATTGAAAATTGGCAGTTAGGAAAAGAATAATTTTACAGTAGATTAACAAAAAACTGTCCAGAATTTGTTTGAAAAAATGACGGAGCTAAATATAAGATCAATTAAAGCGGAAAAAATATCATATAACTTAATTTTTATATTAAAAGTGGTGGTGAAAAATTTTCATTTTTTTCTCAATATTTTATGAGTTGTATTTAAACAGTCACACTTGAAGAGGAAGAGTCAGGTATTTTTTATTGTTAAGAGAGGTAAAAAGAAGTGTAACATTTCATATTTTTTCCCACTTCGTTTATTTTAAAAATGATTTTTCTTCTGGATAATTTTGTTTTGGATGCAATAACATCTATACTGATCATGTCCCGTAAGGATAAATCAACCTTTATATCAATGAAAGGAAAGAATCGAGCATTTACACTTTTACAAAAAAATAAAACTCTCTGAGAAAAGAAAATAAACTAGCAATTTTTGACATAATGATTCAAGTTTCAATTGCCCATGAAATTAATCGAATGATATCCATTGCAGTATTTTATTACTATTTTAAATTAATTGTACTTTTTGTTGTAACATCTTATATTCTTTAAAATAATACTCACAAATGTCGTTAAAGCGCATAAAAAAGTTCGAAAATACATTCATTATTGATCAAATTAACTTATTAATAATACATTAATAAGTTAATTTGATCTATAGAGTAATGTTTCTTACACATATATTATAGCATACATAACTGCAAGTATATATTTATCAACTAAAACTTAAGTAACATGAAAATGTTAAAATTAATATAAAAAATTATTTCTATTTTATAGTTTGCTAAACATAAAAAGAATGATTTTAAAGTTATGTTTCCACATTGATGAATAAAACCTGTTGTTTGTTCTTGTCTTGAACAGTTAAAGTTATAATGGGAGTAAAAAATTGGTTATTATCTCTTGATAGAACAGGGGCCCTTCAACAAATCATTGGCGTTTTAAATATTAAAACAATTGCCAAAGTCCTGACATATCTATTGAACTGTTTATATTTTCAATAGCGATTTTCGATCCTATCTCAAATATTATTAAAGAAGCCGTAGTGACTCTGGTGATAGAGCGCTCGCCTCCCAATGAGGTGCACCGAGTTCAAATTCCAGCGAGGCTTATCGATACGAATTCCGTACTTGACCAACACCTCTTAGAAGAAGGAAGGCCTCAGCACGGATCAATTTAGTAGTCCGATGTGACGAAGTTAACTGCGCAGTAGATAAAAAATAAGAAAGATCTCATTACGTTAGGGGTACTAAGCTGCGCAGTGGTTGAACATACAAAATATGTCATCACGTTTGAACTACTAAAGGATATTTATGGTAACTCGTGCTGAGGCCTGCTCTTTTCTAGGAGGTGTTGACTAGACTCGCACTGACCACAATGCTGAAGTAAATTGCGGATCATGGGTTAGTCCCTTGAACCAGGCTTACCGTGAGAGGATTTCCTCTCTCAGCAACGCAAATGCGGCTTAGTTCCATCAAAAAGTCCTCCACCCTCAAAAAATCCAAAATTTTTCCCAACACTTGATCCATAGTCTTCAATATTGAGTGCAAAATTGCAATATGTGGAGTTGAACATTGATAGTCGTAGACACAAAATTGGGTAGGCTGTTTAACGACAGTTATAAAATAAAATAAAATCTTAATAAAGAACCTCATTTAATGATAATAATTTGTGGGAACAAAAAATTGTAAATTTTGTGAAAACAGAGTTAATTTGACTCATGGACAAAGCTTTACTAAGACGTGAAAACAACTGAACATATCTGTATCTTTTTTATTGTGTTAGCAATTAAGTTCCTGCCGTTTTTTTTTAAACTTAGACTATTGGCATGTAATTAAATGTTTTTCGCATAAGGTTTTAGATCATTCAAGAGAGGATGTTTTGTTCTACTGGAATCTATAATTTTTTATGTGAGTTAATATTTAGATCATTAAAATTAAATGTTAAGTTTAAAAAAATGAGCATTTTCGTTCCTTCCTTTTATCGAGGTTCTTAGGCAGCAAAAAACTGCTTGTGACATTTGTGCTATCGATGGAAAAGGTACTATAGCTGAAGGAGTCACTTGTTATTGGTATAATACGCTTAAAAATAGAATTTTAACCACAAAAACTTACCTCGTTCTAGTTGTCCGGTGAAGAGTGATTAAACCAAGTTTTGCACGAAAATTTTCGTCCAACGAAAGGGGAACTGGTAAAGAAAATTGAATTCTTATG